GTTTCTATAGAGATCCATTCCTTGTGATGATGTTTCTTGGGGCCCAGAACCTCTTGACACGTTGAGGTTAATGCTTCTTCGGTACCTTTCCAGTTATCCTCCATAGCAGATTCTTCTTCCTTCAGTAGATCCTGTAGGGCTTGGAACCTGTTGTTGAGAGCTATCTTGAATTCATTGAGTTTGTCAGTATCTCAAAGGAAGGCTGTATTGAACCTTTGTAGTGCTGTTTGTCCAGTTGTCCAGTTCTTCTTTAGCTTCAGTTTTAAATTGGCCACAACCAGGTGGTGATCTGAAGCTATGTCAGCTCCTCTCCTGGTTCTCACATCTTCCATTGTCCTTCGGGACTTTTTATTGATGCAAATATGATCTATCTGGTTCTCTGTGGTGTGGTCCGGTGAGATCCATGTAGCTTTGTGTATACGTTTGTGTGGAAATATTGTGCCCCCTATGACCAATTTGTTGAATACACACAGATTTGCAGATCTTTCCCCGTTCTCGTTTCTCTCTCCCAGCCCATGCAGTCCCATGATATCTTCATATCCGGTGTTGTCTATTCCCAATTTGGCGTTTAGATCTCCCATCAGAATTGTGAGGTCCTTTCATTTCACGCGTATCTCAATCATGTAGCTGAACACTTCAATAAAATTAATATATAATAATAATAACTCGCGGTTGCTCTATATCCTCATTACTGAAAATTGAACTTGTGAGGCTGTAAGTACTTGTAATCAATATGGAAAGCATCAGTTTTAGGAAATTCAGAACTTTATTTTTTACATATTGTCGCCAAATAGTATTAATTGAACTTGTCTTTTCGATTACCACTGGCGTTATCTTTACCATCAAATTGAAAACCAGGACCTAAATTATACTTTTTGATTGTCTGTAGTGTTTTGCTTAATATATTCCTCATTAACTTTTGGAGATGATTTGCAGCTCAGGTGAATGCTCTTGATAGTGTTGTGTCCTATGATGTGAAAGCAAAAACTTCGCTGACTTTCTGGAACATATCATCGACAACTTCCTTTTATTTAAATAAGCTTTCAGATTATTTCATAACCATAAAACCATTACAATATGATGACATTGTTGTCGATTAAATTTCTTCACAGGTAAAAATATTTTCATGCTGTTAGGATTGCTGTTGACTCCGCTAACAGATTAACGCATTATTATGTGAGCATTCGTCAGTCAGAGTCAGTCAGAAACAACGCGGAACTTCATACGTACGTAAATCAGTTCGAGTTACCATATCACATTAGCACAGAGATTCAGTTATCGATTTAAATCCCGTAGTGGCAGAGTAGTGAAAGTATAAGTAGTGACAGGAAACGTTAAGGTTTGATGATGTTATTTAAGGAGTATAGTCCAGTGGAATAGATTTGGAAAGAAAATAAAGGACATGTAGATTTCAGAAGATTAGAGTTTGAGAGAATACAGAGAGTGGATGCACCTGCGCCATTGCAAACGATTTTGAGATATGTCATTCAAGGTCTCTAACCATCGGTTGCTATCATCTCGCGGTCCCCAACCAGGTAGTCTAAATCTACCAACATGGCTCAGTCCACTTGTCAGTGACTTCATGGATTTGTGCCATGTTTCGGACTGGCCGCCCCTAGCTTTCTTCCAACCTACTCCTACAACATAAAACATAGCACGTCGTGGTAGTCGGTGATCTGGCATGCGCAACACATGTCCCAGCCATCTCAACTGATTAAGTTTCACTACTTCATCAATTGATTTGCCATCCTTACCTAGTACCCGTTTCATAACAACTACATTACTTACTCGGTGGTCCCAGGATGTATGAGCAATGCTTCGAAGATATCTATGATTGAGTACTAGTAACCTACGATTATCCTGTACTCTTACCGGCCATGTTTCACAGCCGTAAAGTAGGACGGAACGAACTGCTGCGCAGTAAACTCGTCCTTTAGTTGATAGACGGAAGTTGGCAAAAGCTAGTCGAGCCTTCTGTATCCGTGCTGAGATTTCGTCACACCAGACCACAAGGGCTGATGAGACTTCCGAGATAAGTGAAGCGGTCGACACGCTCAACTACTTCACTCCCTATCACTAGTTCGGGTGTCGACGCAACCCAATCCTGAAGCAACATTTTGCATTTCGAGGGAGGAAATCGCATGCTGAACATGCCTGCATTGTTGCTTAGAGTGGTCAGCAGACTCTGCATTTTGTCAGCGTCTTCACCAAATAGAACTATGTCATCGGCATATTCTAAGTCAACAAGTGAATCTCCCGGTAAAGGTTCAACTCCTGGAAATTTAGATGAGGAAAGTGTTATTTCTAAAAGCACGTCAACGACAAAGTTAAACAAGAATGGAGAGAGTGGACAGCCCTGAAGAACACCACTTGAGGTAATCAATTCTGATGACAGTTCGCCATATGCTCTCACTCGACCAGTTATGTTCGAGTAGAGAGCCTTTATAAGGTTGATGTACTTCTTTGGTACTCCCTTCAGTGACAAACACTGCCATAGTACCTCAAGATCAACAAAGTCAAATGCCGCCTTAAGGTCAAGAAATACTACCATTGTGGGGCGTCTGAATGTGTGTCTATGTTCTAGAACCTGACGTAGTGTGAATATTTGATCTATACAACCACATCCAGGTCGAAAACCGGTCTGCTTTTCTCCAGTCTGCTCTTCACGAGCTTTGTTTAGACGTTGAAGTATTATTGAAGCTAATATTTTAGACACTATATTAGTCAAACTAATTACTCTGTGATTGTCACAGTAGGACTTTTGTCCTTTCTTATAGACTGGCACAATCAGTGATTGAGACCAGTCAGATGGGATTACGTCCAGTTCCCAGATTCTACCTAAGACCTCAGTCAATCACGCTGCTAATACTGGACCACCATCCTTAAAAATCTCAGGGGTAAACCTGTCAGGGCCTGCTGCTCTCCCACGCTTCAGATTTCCTATAGCTTTTTCAACTTCGTAAAGATTCGGAGGACTTACATTAACTTGCCATTCAGGTCACCGTTATCTGTTCTTTGAGCCGCGACACCATAAGATCCACCCAGGTGTCTTTCCCTTTCGCTTAGTTTACCTACTTGAACGTTAAAGTCACCAGCCACTATTACTACATCTGAACGCCTAGCTTTGCGGAGGTCGGAAAGCTTTCTGTAAAACTCATCTTTTACATCATCTGAGCTGCAGTCAGTGGGAGAGTAGGCACAGACGACGAAGAGGCAACGACGAGTGTCCCTATCATTCCGAGTCCTTACTTCTCCGTTTAGTCGGACAGCGCACAAACGACTGTCTACTGGGATCCAGTCTAGGAGAGCTAGTTCCGCTCTAGGACTCAATTCTATACCTACGCCAGCGAGGCCACGGGAAGCAGCATTAGGGCTTCCAGATACACGGAGTGTAAATCGAGTTGGTTCGTTACTTTGACATGGTGAGGTCAAATGAATGACACTACTCGGATCCTCTATGCGCGTTTCGGAGACGCAGCACACATCGATGGAGCGAGATTCTAAAGTCCTAGCCAAGGAATCCTGTTGTCCTATTTGGTACAGTGTTCGAACGTTGTGTAGTTTAGAGAGTGGTTTCAGGAGACCAGGAATAACGTTCCGCGTACTCGAATCGTTTGCACTAGTAAGGCGAGGTGATAAAGGGATGTGAGAAGGGTTAGTCGTGGAGATAAGAGAGTTATTAAGAAATGTAGGAAGGATTTGAATGTGACCAACGTGGTCTCGTGTGCTGTTACGGGTATGAGGGCTGATGTCACTTCCCGGCTGCCCACACCGTGGAAGGGTATTTCTTGAGGAACCTGAAAAAGAAAACGGGTTAGCGTTGGTCTTAACGACCTGGGTACGTGACCCCAGAGTCCAAGGGACAACTGCTTGAGGCCAGTCGAGCACGGCCTTTTTGTGGGAGGTTTTAATGTGTTAGCTCCGTTCTTCAAAGGGCCTTACCGCCGGAGACGGCGATCCGTCGGGTAAGGTGAGGTGTGCCATTTTTAGGGTCGACCTTTTCTAACCCCTTCCTTCCTTGTGAGAAGGCAGCATCGATGCAGATGCTGGTTTTCTGAGGAAAACACCTTACTGCTGTCACACCTCTGTACAGTCAGCAGTACGACTTCGCCCTCAAACCTTGAGTTGCTGCTATTAGTTTTACCGTTCTCCAACCAACCTGCATGGCATGGTAGAAACTGCAGGAACATGTGTTCCAGCCAATATAGCTCGGTTGGGTCATCACGATAGGCAAGCCCGTCCACCACGTCAAGGTAGCAGCTACGGTCGGGATGTGAGCATTCGACCATGTCGTTTCAAATACTAGAACAAATTACAATAATCATATCATTCTGATCGTGTTATGATTATGAGATTTAAGTAGATAGTGAGAAATATCCACTCTAAACTGATATCAACCATCAAATTAGTGTAGACTGACTGATGTTTCAGTTTAATTATCAGTGAATGGAGTTAGACTAGAGAAAGAAAATAGGGCAATGCACTTCCATGTATTTAGCAATCAAACTGATCTGGAATACAGTTATCAAATATTTTTGTAGCGTATTCATAATTCGTCAGTCAGCACAAAATATTATTGAGAGGATGAGGACTAATGTTAAGGAAATTGAAGTTGAGTTAAATTTATTGGTTCAACGAGGTGGTCTTCATGAGATTAGTGAAGGTCTATTACTAGTTTGAAAACAGAATGCATTCCAAAATATGCATATTTCACTCTAGCTGATCGATACGCAACACGAATAAGTCAAGGTTTGATTTGTTGCATGATTTGTTTAGAAGTCTTGAAGTCACACTGAATGTATCTCTCCTTTGTTGTTCTCCGATTTGACTTGTTAGGGGGCATACGATAAACAAACTAATGATCATTCAGTTGAATGAACTAATATCTTTCAACTTGCTTCACACCACTCGCTCCTCTCAATGAAAACTTGAACAAATCAATCTTATGATAAATCATTTTATTGATTTAAACAAAATAGTTAAGCAAACAAATCTTATTACTACATTTTCGTAGGAGATAAAACAAATGAAGTAGATGGTGGAGGCATAGAGAGAGGGAAGGGAGAGAGAAAATAAATGTGAACAATATTGTCATTTATTAATACATTGTCTGTTAAACGAGGTAAATACTTTCGTAATTGTTTGACGACTTCAATCACTGTAAATATATGAATAATAATGTAATTAGCAGGTAGATTATCCCCTGATAAGCTTCAGTAAGAGCCGACGATAATTACTTGGTGTTGTATTCAATAAACTTTGATCAATAAATAGATTTATCTTGTTTGATGAGTCGTTTCCATTATGCCAACTATTAAACTGTAATAAAAGATATTTGAGAAATAAAATTTACAAAATTATTTCCATTTATCATGTTCGACCACTTGACAAATGATTACAATACAAAAGTAATACATTGTAGAATATTGTTACGAATCATGTCATCATTTATTATCAATGTGGGATATGAGATTTATTCACATATGTCGGACTAGTTTGCTACAATTTAACACTTAGATTTACCAAGATGAAAGACAATCCTGTCGAAATAATAGTGGTGTATTAAATCTGAAGCTTCTCGTTCAAGTGATTTATTTCCTTCACAACTTACTTGTAGATAAGTGATCTGATATTATCATCAAATCAGACAAACACACACACACATATCTATACATGGATGTTGGGTCATCTAGTCTTCTTATAATTGTATTTCGAAACATGTCAAAACCCTTCACTTTGTCGTTGTAATCAGGTTTCAGCAATACGAAGTACTACCTTGCAGTTTCTGTGTCACTTGTTAACCGAATAACACCTCGGATTATACAGTTACAACGTAACAATGTCATGAATCTTATGTACATGAAGTGTTTCCTCATGATTTGATAAGTTTATGAGGTTCAATTAATTTCTACTGATTCGGGTGCTGCAAATCAATTCATTTCTAGATTCACGATGGATTAACATTGACGACTCAACGTCGCTTCACAATGTTTTATGTGAGCTCACTGAAATGTCGATATAATGCACTGTACATCGTATTTCTCTCTGTTTTAGAATTCGTACGTCACAGGATTGATATTATTCAGTGCACTATTGATCACATGATTTCACTGAGATTTTAAATTGAACAAATGAGAAAGTAGTCGACTCTTATTGGTTTCCATCTCAGACGTAGTCCGCATCATGACGAGCACGTATTCCAAGCCCATACTGAACAGTTTCTTATTAGTGATGATATAACAGACAGTTACTTACCACACTCAAGTGTTTTAAGCACTTGATGAATGCATCGTGTTCACGATCACCTGTCAGAGGTGTAACATTTGATATGAGTTCATGCATTGAATTTGAAATACTAGTTCATCATGTCAACGCTGATTGGTTCAGTGATGGTTACCGATGCAACACACCCTTATCATGCTCATCAATATCTGTTTAACACTGAATAAATTTATTCAGCAGCGTAAGACTCTTGAAACAACTTAATTTAAGCAAGACAGGAGTAAGTGATAATTGTCGTTGTTTTTGAAAGAATTTTGAAGTTTGGTAAATCAATAGACTGTGAGACTGCAAGTGTGATATATGCATGTTTAAGTATGCTTAAGTATTAAGTTTTATTTGTTTTTGTTTTGTTGTTGGTAATCATGGAAGACAGTTGAAGATTTCCTTATAAGTTTGTAGATTGATTGAAATTAGACTTGTATACGCTCAGATCCGGTCACATACGTCTGTATTCGATTACTGACTCTTGGATTCATACCGATGAAGAGTTCCATACTTGGACAGAATGATCATCTATTGCACTTAGTTTCCCAATAGTTGTCTTATTTCGGTCCATTCGTGATTTAAACGAAATAGATCGATGTTGAACATGCAGTAAAGTGACAATATTTATAATAAATTATCAGTCAATAAATACTATTCACACTTACATCTATGCATTCATCCAAAGTTGTTTCTGTTATTTTATAAAACTCTTTCATTATATTTTTCAAATCAATTTCACAACGAGTGACGATAATACGGATAAGTGCTTTATCGGCTGTTTCAGCACATTGCATGGCTTTAAATAATTTTTCTGCAAAATATCGTTGTTTATTTTGTATACAACGAACTGAAATCAAATTCAATTAATGTGATTGAAATAAATAAAAGAGAAAATTTGATGGTTATTATTATTTTAATTTTCTTATGTTTTTTTTGCTATCTGAATTATGAACATAAAACAATTTTCTGTTACTAAGTGATACATCATTTTCATTAAAAATATCTAACTTTTCCCAATAGGTATTAGCTGGCCCATATATATATATACCCACTGCCTTCTCGCGGCGGGGGTGTTCTTTACGAAATTGAGAGGACGAAAAGTGAATGTCCGGCGCTTTAACCGGATTGGTGAACACGGAGTCTACCTATGGGAGTTGAAAAACCTTGATTCCAAACTAATGGTGCACATGGGTTCCAGTATCCTGAAGGAACAAATGGCGTATGAACTAATCGTTGGTCACCGGCTACCATGAGACTGCATCTCTTTACGTTGCTCCACTGTCTTGTGGATTAGACCTTCAGGTAAAAGGCTCGGGATGTGGCCCCCTAAGAAAACCACGTGCTTCAGTTTGGGCACTCGGAAAGCATCACAGCCCTCGTACAAATCGAATGATTTATGTAGCGCATATCCGTTTTGTGCTTCCTTATACCGATGTTTATGTGTTTAAATAAATAAAAAATAGTTTACTGATCGATAATGTACGTGTTCATGTACAACAAATCTCAATTCAAGTTACTAAATGAATTAATTACTCCTATCGGACCATAAATTCTGTTTTTGAGTCAATAAGCGTGAATCATTCAACTATTTACTCATTTGAATTTGGATTTATATGTACATATACAAACATTATTGTAGTGTATAGCAAAGGTAAGTAGAGATTTATGTTCTGAAGCGTATCCTCATTGTAGGACAGGAACTTGGTGACTCAACAAAAATAAGTCAATTACTTAGTTATGATGCTTTAAATAGACAAATTAAATACAGTGATAAGATAGTCGGGGATAGTTTACTAAGTAATCTGGATCTAGATTTCATTCCAACTATAGTTTGTTTGGAAGGCGTACCTGAAGACTTGAGGGGACCTCAAACCATGTGGGATTCGAACCCGTCTCTGAGGCATCACCAATGAGTTATTCGGGTCGCAGCTAATATAATCATAGTAATTAATAACTGAATGATGGACAGTATCATTTTATCCAGCTCTTATTGCTGATTGCTAGCTTTGCTGATGAGTACAAACTAGCATGAAACCTATTCCTAAGGTTCCACACTGACTACTTCTAAACAAAAATACATCGAAACGCAGTGCATACACTGTTTGAGTTACTTAAACTAATACGAATAATGAAATTTCTCAACCGACAGAACTTGGGCGACAGTAACGACCAAACTAACATGACACTGGACAGCAAACTCTGACCAATCAATGAAGGGATTATAGTTGTTTACTACCAATCAGATATTAATTGGAATAAAACTGCTATTTAATTCCCAAGTGTTTACATAATACATGAACTAATCCCAAATTAGATTGACTCAAGTCAAAATTATTATTCGGACCCTCTATTTTTCGAAAAAAGTTGTTTAACATTACTTACCTATAGAAAGTAGAGCACTGAGTGTATTTCCACTCATTCTGAACTTTAAAGTATCTTCCACAGTATGTCTACCAATTCGTATATATTCATTGAATACAACTCGTAAGTGAGCATAAGATCTTGAAGCCAAGATAAGAATGAATCTAACATGTATAGGTGTGTTTAAAAAAAGAAGGATTATGTTTAACAGTTTGCTGAAATACTGCGCCATATGTTGCATCAAACTGATTCTTATTTGTTGAACCATTGCATTTATTTAGTCAGATGTCATTTTTACAGATGTCATTTTCAGATAATGGGACAGATATTTTGATAAAAAGTTTGTAATATGACCAACCTATATTACACTTTACGGTACTGAGTCCTAACCTTCTACCTGCTATTTCAGATGGTTTTGATTGAATCAAGCATATTTAAAACATTCATGAAGTTTGTTCTCCAATATTCAATCACTTTGTTCAAATTCACATCAATTACTCTATAATCTTAGATAATATTCGAGAATAATAATGGTTTGAAACGTTTTTAATTAAAGAAAGTCATGGTCACTTAAATTTATTTATTTATTTTAACACATAGATATTGGTACAAGGAGGCACCAAATACATTTGTGCCACACAAGTCATTCGATTTGTGTAAGGGCTGGGATACTGCCCGTGTGCCCAAACCGAAGCAGGTGGTTTTCTTAGGGGACCACACCCCGAGTCTTCGACCTGAATGTCTTACCCACAAGGCAGTGGAGCGTTGTGAGTGCTACTCACTGCCTTCTCGTGGCGGGGGTGTTGTTTACGAAAATGAGGGGAGGAAAAGCGAATGTCCGGCGCTTTAACCGGATCCCAAAGCATGGTCACTTAAAACAGAATTTGATTTACAATTGTGACACATTGGAATACAGGAATGGATTCTGTATTAAAATTTATGTTTTTCAGCGACTTCGTTGGGTAAATTTAAACATATCCTGCTCACTTGTTGTCATCCTTATGTACTCAGCATAAGATATATTATAGTGAAGATGTTTAGTAAACCATCGTAACAATAAGGGTGTTATTTTCACAGTTAGGTGACTAGAGGCCTTTTTTGTTAGGACAGTACATTATATGATTTAACATAAATATAAACAATACAAAAACTTGGCTTGATTACATACCGATCTAAATTATTCCATTTCATGCTGGAATACTTGGTAACATACTTACGCCTGTTACTCCCAATCGAGCATAGGCTGCCAACCAGCATTCTCCAACCCACTATGTACTAGGCATTCCTTTCTAGTTCTATCCAATTGTTGTTTATTCTTCTCATGTCTGTCTCCATTTTTCGGCATAATGTGTTCTTTGGTCTTCCTCTTCTCCTTTGGCCTTGGGGATTCCATGCGAGGGCTTGCGTTGCGACACAGTCGGGTTCTTTCCTCAATGTGTGTCCTATCCACATCTAGTGCTTCTTCCTGGTTTCTTCCTCCTCATGGATCACGTTTATTTTCTCCCACAGTAGGTTGTTTCTAATGGTGTCCGGCCAACTGATCCGAAGTATTTTGCGTGGACAACTGTTAATAAACACTTGTGTCTTCTGGATGATGGTTTTCGTAGTTCTTTGAGTTTCTGCCCTATACAATGGAACTGTCTTGACATTTGTATTGAAAATTCCGACCTTGATGTTGGTTGACAGTTGCTTTGAATTCCAGGCGTCATTCAGTTGTAAATATGCTGCTCATGCTTTGCCGATCCGCTCCAGGCGGAGTTTCATATTGGAATAGTTAGAGAAAACCAAATAATTGATACCATTTGTAAGAAGAGAGATGATGATTCTATTCGCACGATTATTATCAACTTTAAATCACATCACGATGATTACATTTGAGCTCCATTAGTCTTCCTCTTTAAACTATCACCATGCCAATTTAAAGATCTGGTTAGTTTGTAGTTGGGTCATGCGTATCACAAGTTCCAAAAATGTCAATCAATGCTTGTTCACTACTTCATTAATCAGCTTATCCACTTTGATTGAAACTCTTTACCTACCATTAGCATCATTCAGTGAACGAAGTATTTATAGTCAAATACATAGTCCGATAGCCAATTAGTACTTGAAAATTGAATTTTCTCTCAGTATGTAATCTCTTATAAAACTGTAAATATTCTGTTTTTAAGTAAAAATCCAATAAATTAATTAACCATCAGTATTGGTGCTGGGGAGATTATTAAGTTTGTGATTGAGATCATGAACCGACTGATGTTAGACTACCGTTCGAAACCTGGAGGCACTGGACGGCCGTTTCGTCCTAGTATGGGACTCCTCAGCAGTCGCATTCACGAACCCGCTCGCGAGATTCGAACCCAGGGCCTCCAGGCTCGCTTAACCTACTGGACCACTGAGCCGGCCGGCATCCAATGCTGTTAGTGTCTAACATCAACCAATCCACGAAATTACGCGACCATCTTCCGTTGTACTGAGGTAGATACCTGTCTCTACTCAACACGGATTAGATCCACTGGTCACGGCTTCTCACTAGAACTCCGAGAATTCCCTCACGAATCTAGTCACTAGTGAGCACATCTTAATTATCAGCATTGGGGTGGATGCGCACTGCTGAGGAGTCCCATGCTAGGAAGAAACGGTCGTCCAGTGCTTCCAGGTTTCCAACGATTGTCTAACATCAGTCGGCTTATGATCTCAATCAAAAAAATTAATTAACAGTTATGTGAGATTTTCTTAAACTAACTAGTATATGTTGAATAAACAATACACTTACTTCGATTCATCTATCCTAATGTCTTGTTTTAATGTATTAAATAATACTTCCGCATCTCTTTGTACAAGATTTCCATTTATAAATGTAAATTCATCTCTATTCGCTTTTAGTAAAGCTATATATATTGATTTAAAAGGATTTTCAGTATCATTGTTGGCATCATCTTCTAAATCACGTCCATTGAATACTAAAATTTAACAAAAAACTCAGTTATTAGTTAAAAAGCAAAAAATTTGTTTATCGTTTACATGACTGATTAACATCAGCTAAACAAGCATTGAAAGCCTATATTTACTTACTTAAGCCAGTTACTCCAAATGGAGCATAAGCCGCTGATCACCATTCCCCAAACTACTCTGTCCTGATCCTTCCTCTCTAGTTTTATCCAATTGTTGTTCATTCTTCTCATGTCTATCTTCATTTCTCGGCGTAATGTGTTCTTTGGTCTTCCTCTTCTCCTTTGGCCTTGAGAATTCCAAGTGTTGACTTGCGTTGTGAGGCAGTTTGGTGATTTCCTCAATATGTGTGTTATTCACTTGCAGCGCTTCTTCTTCCTCTGAGATCTGGTTTGTTCTCTCCCACAGTAGATTGAAGCCTATATTTACCGAACAGCTATTTCATCAAATTGTGAGACTTCTTCGCATTATGCATTCATAATCATATCAGTTATCAGACTCATGGATTTTAGGCATCGTGACAAGTTCTTCATCTTTATGCCACTTAGATGATATTCAATGATTTACATTTCTATTATCTCGATAGAACAATGAGAAGACGGAGTTGATCGGGAAAATGTGATGTATTTGAGCTATACATTTAGAACAATCTGGTCACATATATATTTCTAGAATGGGTTTTGTGGAGAATTGGTAATTTCAATAGTTGAAATCATGAATCAATTGAAGCTAGACCACCATGGAAAACCTGGAAGCACTGGACGGCCGTTTCGTCCTAGTATGGGATTCCTCAGCAGTGCGCATCCACGATCCCGCACCCCGCGGGATTCAAACCCAGGACCTATCAGTCTCGCGCCAGGCGCTTAACCAACTAGACCACTGAGCCGGCATCCAACGGTGTTAATGTCTAACTTCAACTAATCCACGAAGTTGCGCCACCGTCACCATTGTCTTCAGTGAGCTGATATCTCACAACAGACCTGGTTGAACTCCACTGGTCACGGCTTCTCACTAGAACTCCAGGAGTATCTCTTGAAGTCAGTCACTGAGGAGTCCCATACTAGGACGAAACGGCCGTCCAGTGCTTCCAGGTTTTCCATGGTGGTCTAGCTTCAATTGATTCATGATTTCAACATATATATTTGTCATGGCATTTTATATGAAAATTAATAAAGGTCAATTAAATGAAAGTTCAAGTAAAAAAGTAACAAAGGGGAGAGAAAGAATAAGAAATTGTCGGGTTATCCTAGGCCATTGAATGACAAATAAGGGGGGTTTAAATTTACGAATAACCTCCTCCTTATTTGTACAAAAATAATTTGTCGTAACTTGAATTTACCTTGGTAATCCTGAAGTCATTCTATGGCCTAGGATAACGCGACAATTTCTTATTCTTTCTCTCGCCTTTGTCACTTCTTTCCTTGATCTTTCATTTAATTGAGCTTTATTAATTTTCATATAAAAAATGCCTTGACAAGTATATGTGTGACCAACTTTGTCTTCTCATTGTTCAATTGACATTTATAAACGCGACTAATTGCTTTACATTTCTGTTATCCCCTTATGATTAAATAATCAATGAATATATTAACATATAGACCTCCAGATACAATGCATACATTTGATGTTGAGCTAAGTGTTGAACAAACAGGTCAATAACTATGGACTTTCAAATATTTTAGTATAATAAGAAAAAGCTAATATTACATACTAACTGTCAGTTAAGAATACTGCTGTTTAGAGAATACTATACTAATCTTCTTTCATATCGACCTAGATGAATAAAATATAAGAAGAGTTATTTTTAATCAGATAAGTATATTTAAACTGAAGAATGCTCTTATTACTATATATGCTAACTATTTTAATGAATGATTGATCAAGTAAACAAAAATAGTATGACTATATGATAGGCTTCCTAAATAATCTGATAGGTCTTCTATTCGAACGCTGGATTCGGTTTCTTAAGCTCTCTAGTAAACCCCCAGACTAAATGTACACAGTAACTTGAACATGAGAGAAAAGGCACGAAGTACGGAAGGAAACGTTTTGCTCCGAGGGTCCGTTTATGTACGGAAGCTCTAAGGTATTTATGGCATTCCAGATAGCCCTGGGCTTCCATAAAATTCTGGAACGCTGCTAAACATTGTAGCAGTATAGGTAATCATCCAATTAAAAAACACGACATGTGACTTTTCACTTTCTAAATGTTTCTGGCAAAACTTTTATTGAATGGTGATTGGATAAGGGGTTTTCTCAACGTTTTCAGAGCATTATTTTGGCTTTTTTCGAAGAATTCTCCGGATCTCCCCAACACAATCAACAATAAACTAGTTAAACAAATCATTTACAATTCATAATTGACATAGAACAGTGAAATGATAGTTGAATTATTTAAATTTTATCTACTGAATCGTAGATTTGAATCCTGCTTTAATTCGTTCACTTTCAGTAGAATTGTAATATCGTAAACCCTTAAACAGGGAGATAATCAGCATTTGCTCAACTTGTGGACAAATAGAAGAAAGTGATTTTGAAATATAAAGCAAATAAAATATACAGATTTTCAAAAATTCAAAGTGTGAATCATAAGAATCTTAGAGTAACATAATTTCCGATTAATCCAAGAAGTATTATGGCATATGCTACTGATGTCGACAGATATAAATGGTAAGGACCATCAATCGAAAGTGAAATACCTGGCAGCAGAAAGTTAAGAAGATCGAAGTAAAGTGAATGAGAACAGAGAATGATTGGTATGGAAACGAAGGAACAATGAAATGTTAGACGATTTATTGATATTTTGCAAATGAAGTACTTCATATAGAGTTCTCAGATTTTACTAACACGTTCTGTAATTGTATATACAAATACATTCGATTGTCCCTACATGTGTTCACATTCACTACAGTACAGATGAATAATTGTCTATAAAAATAAACATTTATCTATCAGTTTGTGCAAAGGCATATACGATTAGTATTTAATGAATAGATTTGAATTGGGAATATTGATTGAAAAAGAGAACGAATAAACATTCAAGTGCCAAACAGTGATATATCATAAATACACATTTTATATCTATAAAGCTATATGACACTCATAGTTTGGAGATGATTTTTCACTATTTTAAAATAAACGAAGTTGACAATATAAATTGCGTAAAACTATTCTGATAATAGGTAAATTAAATAATTGGGATCATGAGTCAATTGAAGCTAGACCATCATGGAAAACCTAGAAGCACTGGATGGCCGTTTCGTCCTATTGTTGGACTCCTCAGTAGTGCGCGTCCACTATCCCGTCCCACGAGATTCGAACCCAGGACTATGAATCGCACACGCGAGAGCTAGAACTCCAGGGAATGGCTCTTGAAGCCAAGCACTTGTGAGCATATATTGATCAGTATCAGAAGCGATTTTTGTGGATAATATAGTAATTTCAATAGTTGAGATCATGAGTCAACTGAAGCTAATCTGATAGGTTCTGGATTTGAATCTTGAGAGACGAGATCATGAATGAGCATTGCTGAGGAGTCCCACAATAGGATGAAACGGTCATTCAGTGCTTCTAGGTTTTCCATGTTGGTCTAGCTTCAATCGACTCATGATCTTAACCACTGAAATTACTATCATATCCACAAAAAACCCTTCTGATAATAGGTAGACAAATTGAATTTTCAAAATCTGTAACATTTAATTTGGCTAAGCAACAACTTGTTTTTCTATAAATATTAAATATGTTAATATCAACTTTAGAAAAAGTCAGTATGTCTAGATTATAGCATTTGCAAGGGATTGTATTACTGCGTTGTTGATAATAAGATTTATAATTGATCAATCTGTTGAATCCTTCCAAACAGTCATTCTTTCTTTCTTTCTCATTAAAGATGAATTGTGACTACGGTGTAGTCCATGGGGTTCACTTCTTCCTACATGAGACTCATTAGCTGAACATTCCTGAATCCCACTGTTTGTTTTCACAATGAAACATGTCTTGAACTATAATCGCTGTGTGAACATGAAAACTGAGATATATGTATATCTACCTGACATGTTCGAAATAGAATGAAATTTATATCCTGTATTCCAATAACAAACACTATTATTACTTTCAAAGTCAAATGATGGAGTTGCGTAAGGAATAAGTTTGCTTCACAATTGTATCAGTTAGTAATTTTCCAAATGTAAATGTCAGGATATTTATTCTAAGTAAAAAGCAATATATTGAAATGGCTACCATAGACCCATATAATTAGATGGATAATATTAAAGGTACATTATAGGACTGAAACATTTTCATTTGGTTATAATCTCAAATTTAGATAAGGATTATTGTTTATTCAATTAATGTAACCCTGAAGTATAAAATATAAACAGAGCTTCTATTTTGAACTATGGACAACTGGATTCTAACCCATTAGCTTAAAGTTGATGGCGATGGCTAAAAGACCTAGAATCCCTGTGTAACCAGGGTTTTGTAAACTCCTGATGTATTGTAAAGTAGAAAAAAGTAGATTCATGTTATTCCTTGTATTCTCAATGATTCTTGAGTTTACCCAAGTTTATGATGTCTAATTTTCACTAAAAATAAAGCCAAATAACTTTGAAAATCAACAGAACAGGAGTTTTTCTTGAAGTTCTTAGAAATTTCAAATAGTTGAAATGAATCACAGTGAATTTTCCTTTCAACTACTGACCATATTCAGTAATTCCCAACAATACAAAATATATTTGATGATTTTATAAACTAATAACTTACATTTTGGATAAACATCCTTGATTCTTCTGATTTGTTCATTTGTTCTTGTACAAATAATTTCAATTATTGTATCTTCATCAGTATCAGTTCCTCTCATTGCTCTACGAAGTTCAATTGCATCGAATTCTGCTGGTGTATAGCACAACGCAATCAAACAATATTTTAAATATCCAGTGAAGTTAGTATTAAATTTGACGCGTAAATTTTCTTTATACAGAGATTTATATTTTTGTAAAATTGCTATACGTTGAACAACAGGTCGACGACCCATTACTTCAATGACCACTTTTTCTTTTATCTTTATTCTATCCAGAGCACTCATTATATGTTCACAGTCATGTTCAACACAGAAATCTTCTTTAGGTCTTAATGTTGATTTCATCTAACATTAGAAGAATAGATATTTAAAAGTAAGTAAATTGTAGAATCTAGTTAAAATGGTTTTGGGTAGATTGGTTTAATTTATAAATTGTATTCGTCGGGCTACCATTGAAAACCTGAAGAACAGAAAGTTCTTACTGTTGAAGAATCCCAAATCAGGATGAAATAAATTCCAATAGTTCTTTTTTTTCATTGGTATCCCAAACGAGATCAACTTTGATGAATACAACTTAAAGAGTATCGATTCGTGTCACTAAAATCCTTTACATTATCATGTATTGTTTATTAAATATTTGTTACTCACTTGAGTTAATGACCAACATATTTCAATGAAATAAATATCAAGTAGACGAAATGACAACAATAGCATATGGATATGATAATTTAATTTACAAAAAGAACCTTGGATTTCACAAGATTTGTCGATGCATGGACTATGTTCAATATACTCAAACGATCTTAGGATTTAAAATCGTCTGCTTTTGCTTTTATTCTTTACATTCATTGAAATGAATGTACAGTCTATACTCAGTCTAAACACACTGGTCAAGTGGAAATGAATTAAATAATCATCTCCATGACTCTTGTTAGCATAATAATCTATTACAGACCTTCTCTCAATGTAAGATGTACAAATGGCAATGATTTTAAAATACAGAAAAAGTGACGAGATGGATAGATAGTATGCAGAATTGTGTCTCTTAATGTTGCTTACATGTTAACAACTATACGACTACGTAACAATTGAGGTAAACTTTAGACAATCATATGATATAAACTATCTTCTCCACATTCACATAAAATAACCCATCAATATAAATTACTGATATTTCCGATACCCTACAATATTCAATCTAGATAATTCAGGTGATCGCAGTCGACTAATCATATTTAGAATTGGTATTTGTACTAACAGATGATTCCTTTGTACTTGATTGCGCGCTCGTTACGAATTACAATTGTAATACATCCAGTTGTGCTCATCTGGTTCCACCTGCCTTAAATTGCACTATTCCGTGAATTCTTAGTTAGCAAATCAATTCGAATACTTCTAATTATCACATTAGAACAGCTGTGATTGATATCGCATTATATGGTAAAAATAAATTCGAAACTACTCTATAAACACATGTGACTGTCTGACAATCATTAGTCAACAGCAGACTAGTATGTTTGCAATGACATGCGTATATTAAAGAATTTATACAAAGTTAACAATTAGACTGAATTACCTACCAACATTTGTCTGAGTTGTGTGATTTACTGCTTTGAGTGAAAAAAAAACGCTAAATTCTTCAAACTACATCAAATAAGAAGTGAAATATTGACTGGAAATATGGTCAGGTATTATGAGAGCTTTGCCTAGTACATTACGTCTGTTCTTAAAAATATCTCCCACAATGATGTTCGTCTTTTCAGATTATCTAAGCCGACCAATTGCTCACTCGACCAATCCACTCACTTAAATAAAATCTCAATAAATTAAAAGATACGGGAACTAAGGGCATGAAATTCATGAAATCCATCAACCTTCTGAAATTCATAGGCCAATAAGTCATGAAGAGGAAAGTAGTGGAAATACTTGTAGTCTATACATCACATAAGTAAAATAAATTTGGATTGTAACTCGAGAGTTATGTGCACAGTTGATTCATCGAACAATCAATGAAAATGACTTAGGAGCTATTCAAACGTAATCAATTATTCAACTAATATCAATAATAATAATAATAATAATGATAATAATAATGGCAACATACTATATCTTCGTGTGGAGCTGATTCTGCAAACCCATAAATTCTGGAAGAGACAGAAAACTCATTCGACTGAGATGAAATCGGAGTAGGGAAATCGTTGAACATCGGGTATACAGATCCTTGATTCGTGTTCACTGGGTTGCTACCAAATGAAATCCCACCTGGTGGTGGCATAGTTGGGCAATAATTTGTTTGGGGATTTTGTGAAGAAGGATTCCCAGAAATATAAGGACTTTGCATTTGACTTGCATAATCGATATTGAATGAGGTTGTACCTGGTAGATATGATGTAGCAGATGGATTATTGTCATAAGAAGGATTTGTATAACCTTGTTGGCTTGAAAATGGGGCAGTTGAATTGTTCAGACTTTGGTCGGAGAAACTATCTGGTGCACTGACGGGTATCTGATTAAAATTTGTTTCTGATTTTCCAGGATACTCACTCATTTTAGATCCCATTTTTTCTATTGTACATCCATCTGTGCTTGAATCCATTGAGCTCCCTGATGATGAATTAGGAGATGGTATTTCTGAACATCCCTCAGAAGTCATTCTCGAATGTCCTGTAGAAGGATTACTTGAATAAACTGTATGAGGATGTTGAGAATCGTTCCACTCAGAGCGATTAAAAACATCCAAATCCATTTGTCAAGCTGACTTAATTCAGCAGACGATAAATTGATTTTTTTGTTAAGGTCACTAGTGTATTGAATTAGTTGGTTAAGATGAACATGCAACTGTAGAAGGATTGGTTAAACTAACCACACAAATATCAAACGACCTTCATAGTGTCAGAAGATTTTCATAGTCAAAACAAAACAAATATTTTAACTCATTTTTGTTGGTACCGTTCGGTATTGTAACTTTTGGACTATTCTACTAGGTTTGTAAAAGTTTAAAAGTTTATCTAGTGAATAATAAGCTACCATTCTGGTCAATTTATCAATGACTAACAAGGTTTGCTAGCTAATTTGTGATTTGAACCACCATTTCTAAATTTAATCAATGCCATGAAGATGAGTATGTAGATGGCATGGTTTACAGTTTCCTGGTGTGGATTACTTATATCCATTTAAGTAGTATATAACGGTGGTCAGGCATAGAGTGTGTTTCAGCAGAAGATCGATAAGGAAAGGACGAAAACGGAACGCATTCAGTATGAAAATGCATGAACAGTGAAATCTAAGACAATAGACTGATATTTGCAAAAGGAACTGTGAAGTTTGGGACGATGGATTGATATTTTACAAATTAACTATTTACCATATGGTTCTCAGATTTTATTGAGATGCTCTGTAATTTAGTGTTGAAGTGCATTCGATTGTTGCCACTTGAGTTCTTGTTCACTACAATTCTATTGTCAGTTACCATAAATTTTAATTATTTTACAAGATACTACGTTTTTAAGTGATATGATAATTATATTTTTGAAATGAAAATGATACTAGTCCATTATGTAAGCTAAATATGGAATCTAATGTGATACTTATCTGTAGTCTTAAGAGAACTAATGCTGCCTATGGGATTCGAACTAGCGTGATCCAGCTTCACAATACTTGACATTACTTCAAAACTTCACGTGGCATTGTTAAACAATTTAATAATCACCTGTAAATATTTCTCTAGAATCGATTTAACCTCTTCAATAGTAAAACTTTCCAAGAAAACTATGCCACCGAACCTCAGCTTGAGCCCTTCTAGAGTCACTCTCGGTCTTAAACCTGACTAATGCAAGAGTGCTTGGCATTGAAATAATGCTTCAATATTGTAAAAAGTAATCCTGAAAAAAAGACGCCTAACCATAACTATTCTCCCTAATTTTTTAATTCAGGAGAAATATATACTTACTAAACGAGTGGTTACCATCAAATCCACAAAACATTTGAAAAATATAATACATTTTAGTCCCGATTCCTTTCACAAAATTTGATAGAGATCAAAAATGTTTTGAATGACTTGGTAATCTTAAGCTTAGAATAAGGATTGAAAACTTTATTATTATTTATTCATAACATGACTGGCTAATATCGATTTGAAATAGGTAATCCATTCACATCACTGAAGGATCTTTATTTAATAGATGAAATAACTAATGGATTCATAATTATAAAGCCTAATGATGAAGCTATTGTACACATGTGTCCTCTTAAATGTTTCTTGTCATATTGCGAATATTAATCTGAAAAAATATGATATAATAAATTGAGATAAATATGAAATAACTGTATTTCAGATATTCACATGTAGTGAATCTTATCCGAGTTAGTAAATACTATGAAAATTATCATTGTTCAAGACCACTGACGATATTTACATACTGAATCTATTCTGGGAAACGTTTACATCTTAATAATCATTCTCTATTAATTTTTTAAACAAACGTACTACTTAACAGTAGTAAGTAACATGAACTTTTTACAACAAAACTTCTCATATCGTGATTTAGAACAACAAAATTACATAATAAGAAGTGTTCAGATAATTGGACCGTGAAACATATATTTGAGGGGAAAAATGGTGAAATGGAATGAAGAGAAATAAAAGAAGAAAGAGTATGGAAAACGATAATAAAATCATTTATTGAGGATAAGGGAGAGACAAAGGTGTTACAAATGTCTTATGAAAGCAAAACTTGGATTATTGACGCGAATTCCTATAGCTTCTGCTATCTATAATAAAATGAATGATGATTGTCACGTTCTGAGATGCATAAGTATACATTAGTTTGTCATTATCTATTTATCAAGATTTGATAGTAAGTAAGAAAAAGGATGATTCAACTGGGAAAAGCTTATTGAAGTTTGTAGAGTACAATATCAAGAATAGCTTTTAAAATCAAAGGAATGATGAAGGTAAATGTAAAGTTATGTTTGTAACATTCCAAATAGCTGAAAGTTAAATAATCCCGACCATTCACCTTGCAGTCTGATCAGAGCTTCTTAAATATTATGTTAATTCAAAGTAAAAAGTAATAGGTAATTACTTTCACCGAGTATCCATTTTGATTAATATTGTATAATTATAGTTGATAAATGATTGAGAAGAACTGAGATTTAAACATTCAGTTTATCCGACATTAAATTGTGTTAGAACCATCTATAGTTAAACTGTTATATATAATATTTAAGGTTTCAAAGACCTGTTATATCATTTATGCATAACTTTTAAGATGATTAGATGATTATAATGCAAGACCCTGGATACAAAATATATTTTTACAAGTTGTAGTGTGTTGAGTTCTACTGATATCGACAGATATAATTAGTATGTATCATCTATCGAAAGTGAAATGTCTGGTGGTAGAATGTTGAGAAAGTCGAAGAGAAGAGAACGAGAATAGAAAGTGATTGGTGTGGAAACGAAGGAACAATGAATTCTGAGACAATCGATGAATATTTTGCAAATGAAGGATTTACTGTATGGTTCTCAGATTTTGCTAAGAGATTCTGTAATTTTGTATTCAAATGTATTTGGTTGTCCCTGCTCGTGTTCTAGTTCACTGCAGTAGTACTTGAGAATGTTTACCATGATACGAAATGTAAGGAGAAGAATCTCAAGAAAATATTATATAAATAAGTCATTCAAAACTGTTGTGTATTCAGAATGATGGTCAGAATTACATTAAAAGCTACCAAACAGAATCCCGATTCTAATTTGGTCTATTTTGCGTCTGCTACTTACTCTATAGCTTTGTGTCTCTGACTTAGCCAGTTAAACGTCCGACCAACACTATTAACCTTGAGTCAACAGCTATGCTTCTAGTTGTCCACCATTCGCAAGCTTTCCATCATTTAGAACAAATTTTTGAAATTTCTAGAATCTCTGTCGGCCGCCTAATATATTCTATACAACTCAATACAATGTCATTGATGTTAAGATTTTTATTGATACTTACTATCCTGATATTAGTATTTCTTTCATGAATCCTATTTTTTAGTTTCTAACAAACAATTGTCGAAGCTATTCTGGAATTCACTAACTATCTATCAAGAACCCTATGAAGAATACTAGATGATAATAGATGAAATCATTTGTACTGCTTGTTTAATTATTTGCAGTTCTGAACATCAATGAAAAAAACCAAGCATCTAATAAAAATAAACTTAACGTTACCCGACTGCAAATTTTAATGGCTATCTGGACTAAGTAGCTAACTGGATGACATGATAGCATTTGAAACTTGGTTCGAAGCTCAGATTTGGCATCAATTCTAGGATACATGTATATCCAGTTGATGGGTCTCAAATAGAAAAAAATGAACAACCTGGATTCAACTGCTAGCTATCATTCATCTGTCTTAATAATTGGTTGTACGTAATTGAAAATATTTTACAGTTTAATAGTGCAATTCTATTTCATGTACAAGAATAAAGTGTAGAATTACAGGTATAGTTAGATTAAAATTATAATGAATCTAGTTTTCACTTTAATCTTCCCATTGATGTTTAGCACTGCAATTGAGCGGTCTTTTATTGTCTTATATGCATACTTTGCGTATTGCCTCGATGTCACCTTAATTTACTAGCATTATAAGCAAAGATGGATAGTTGCAATACTAACAGTATGCACATATGCCAATAAGATACTGATCAATCGCAGTGCTAAGCTTCAACGTGAAGATTCAAGTAAACAATATCAAGTGAATTTAAACTTCACCCCATTGCACAAGCAAGTGGATATCAAGACTCAGTAACTAAGTGGATAGCTTTTGAAGCGAACGGTACTGGGTTCCAGTCTCGGAGTGAACGTCAACTCTGAGGTGCAGTTACATCCAGCTGACAAGTCCCAGATAGGACTAAACATACATGCATAGTTAAAGTATTCTCGTAAGATAATACTTCATCTATAGGAACGTAAAAGTAGAACTTTCGTAATAATCGTGCAGAATATGATAGTCGCATAGACAAATCCATAATAACTAAACACATTGATTAAAAGAATATGAAGATCCTGAGTTTGAACCTTAGTAGGATTGTGTATGTACACTACTGAAGGGTCTCATATTACGACTGTCTTACCAAAACCAGTTATTAATATAAAGCTACAAATAAACTTGAGACTTTGATAGTTAACCCTTGATGAATTCGTTTTCTAAATGTTGAACAGTATTTATTTGTTGGATATTTATTTTATTCTATTATTAAATATGATCCTAGCTATGAGCTTTCTGAACTCAATAACCATTGTTATTACTTTGTTTATCATTCATTGATTATCTTTCATTAACTGATATAGATCTGTTACTTATAGATTGTGATGAGTTGTTGTTTTTTGATTCGATTTACATAATCAAATGAATTATGATTTCGCATTAAAACAATGTACTTGTGACCATTCATACCAATTTCTTTTGTTTTTTTTTAATTCAAATTTAAGGAAGGTGGAAATTTGCATGATCTATCATTAGAATTATGTACACAATGAATGAGTTAGTAATAAACATAAGAGTATAACTCATGATGGTGACACGAGATCGAATCCGTCAGGTAGCATCAGTTCCCTCAATATTACAGGTACACATTGCTGACGAGTGCTAAATAGCACGAAATCCGGGTCTAGGATTTCCTGTTAGCTACCTCCAACCACCATTCTATCTGAACATAGTGCACACAATGTCGAGTCACCTAGACCAATGGCCACATTGC